AGTTGAACTGCACTCTGCACCGCCAGTGAGTGTGGTAATGATTTTTCACCTACATTTGCACTCATTATAAATTTGATCACGACACTATGGTAGTTAAACACAGATATATAATCATATATTCATAGTGTATATTGTTTCCCATTTCTGTATCATGCTAACATTCATTGTATAAAGTGTTTATTGTCATTATTATTGTTATTATTGCTATTATTATTGTTATGTCTTTTTATTATTATTATTATTATTATTATTATTATTATTATTATTATTAATGTCACTATTATGATTATGCAGATTCATTTAATTTTCTCTTGGCTGGACAACATTTTTCTTGTGAATTATCATCTTATATTTGCTTGTGTTTATCTTCTTGAAATCTTCTATTCTGTTTGTTGTCTTCTTTAGCTGTATATTTCCTTTTTTTATCTATTAACAAAGCATCTTTAATGAGGGTATTGTATATCATGATAAAAGTTATAGTATTTTATATTTACTACATCAGGTAATTGACCGTATATGATACTCAAATCACTTTTATAAACATTTACAATCTGTAGAGTAGAATTATGGAATTTCTTTTTTACGTAGTACATTTCCATAATTACTTGCATCCCATTGTATTGAGTTGTATCATAGAACAACGAAATTTCACAGCCAAGTGTATTTTTCTTTAGTTTAGGCTCTAATACGCACATGCAACCCATTTTCTCTTCAATGATTTTTAACCCGTTTTCTTTGACGCTCAGGGTGACTCGGGTAGTCCGCTAACCCTCATGCAGGATGGCCGCCGACACCTGATTGGCCTGGTCAGCTGGGGCATTGGATGCGCTCGACGTAATCTGCCGGGAGTGTACACTAACTTAGCTTTGTTTTCTAACTGGATTAGGAGAATAATCAGTACTTAGTTTAGGTCGTTCTTTTCTGTCATGTAGATTTAGTAGATAATTTCCGTCGTAGATTAATCGCCTACGTTCCTGTTAACTGTTTTCTCTTCGTCTCTATTTTATCAGTGTTGATTATTATTTATACTGTTTAGTCATCTGTAAGTCGCGATGCGCCTGAGGTGCCAGTCAGGGATTTTTTAATGGATGTTGACAGCTGTTGTATTTTTTCCATATATATTTCCCATATCAAGAGTCTTAAACTTTCTACCTGTGATAAGAAGAATGTTTATAAGTCAGGAACTGTTATAATTGTTTTCTCGATAATTCTTGAAAGTGTATTACAGCATTATGGTTCCAGTTACAGTTACGTTTACAGTGTTTCAAGAATTTTGAATTTTGTAACATCAAAGGAGCTGGATCTCCTCTGTTTATGTAAATAATTATTGTATGAGTAAACAAAGACATGAAAATGCAGGTGTTGATGTACATAAAGTTTATTCTTCTATTCAGTGTTCATGATATTCTGATATGGTTAGCAGCCACACTATTCTGTGTATAGCAATATAATATTAAACTTATTTTTCACATGTGTCTTTTCTTCCCCTAAGAGAAAATTTACAGTCAAATACAAAAAAAGAGTTTTTCAATGTATTCCCAGGTATGCCAGGAAAGTTAAGTCCTTAGAACTAAAATAATCATCTGCAATATTTTGTTTCGCAAAGGTTAGTAAAATTCTTAAGAGCACTCTGCTCTCTGAATCGATAAGATATGAAAGAGTTGCGACTTCGTGTGTATCCATTCATCCACGACGTATTTCTCTCAGGTTTTCCATTACCATCCCTAAACATAAAAGCTGTAGTTCTCATACATGTTACTGTATATTCAAAGTAACTGTGCAACAAGGCATGGTGTTCAAATGCTTGGATATTTGACACTGACGTTTAGGTTGTCTTAGTTTCGAATCTCCGTTGTCATTTGTTTGCATTGCCTCCTAGCAGAGGACCCTGGATCTTGGGATCTTGGCATCCCCAATTCGAAAAAAAAATCAAAAACACAAACGATATGTCTTCTGAAAGGCATTAATAAAGCCTATAGGTACTTTGCACCACGGCTTAGAAGTTACTTAATGTCAGTTTGAAACCAATATCAATTCGAAGTTAAGTTTGTACATTAGGATATTTCATAGTTATAGAAGTATAATTGAAGTGCCTTTGCTAATCTGTCTTACCGTTACAAGTGCTCCACTGTATTATATGAGTCGCTCCAAGAAAATCAGTTATCAATTGTAAGATTTTAAAAAGTCAGTTTACATTATATATACAGTTTTTGAAGAAACATATCAGGACACGGATGGATAAGAAAACCATGCATTTTCCTATTTACTATGTATTTGAACTCTACAATAGACGTGCTGGTCACGTCGAGGTTATAACAAAATCACAGACAATACGGTGTATCACGAGAAAGATAACCACGGCATCATTTAAAGCAGGAATTGGAGCAGAATCACTGACACTAATACCCATGAGAGCAAAGTGGCGATTCTTGTCACGAATTGTGAAATTGTTGATCCACTCTGGATCGCTATCTTTTTTAAGATTCACCGGAAGTGGACG